ACAGTGTATGAAGTTTCCTTTTTCTCCATATTTTTGTCAACACTTGTTTCTTATCTCTTTGATTTTAGACATTCTGACAGATGTGAGGTGATATCTCATTGTGGTGTTGATTGGCATTTTACTAATGATCAGTGATGTTGAGCATCTTTTCATGTGTCTCTTGGCCATACATATGTCTTCTTTGGAAAAATGTCTATTCAGAATTTCTGCTCATTTATTAAATTGGATTTTTTTTTTTTTTTTTTTGGTGTTCGGTTATATAAGCTCTCTGTATTTTGGATATTAACTCATTATTAGATGTATCATTTGCAAATACCTTCTCTAATTCAATAGGTTGCCTTTTTGTTTTGTTGGTGGTTTACTTTGCTATGCAAACCCTTTTTATTTTGGTATGGTCCCAATAATTTATTTTGGTTTTTGTTTTCCTTCTCTTGGAATGCATAACTAGAAAAATGTCCCCTATGTTAGAGAAATTGCTGCCTCTGTTTTTTTCAGGATTTTTAGTGGTTTCAGGTCTCACATTTATGCCTTTAATTCATTTTGAGTTTATTTTTTTGCATGGTGGTCCAGTTTCATTCTTTTACATGTGGCTGTCCAGTTTTCACAGTATTATTTATTTTTTAAAATTAAAAAAAAATTAATGTTTATTTTTGAGAAAGAGAGAGAGAGGGAGAGAGAAAGAGAGGGGGAGGAGCAGAGAGAGAGAGGGAGACACAGAATCAGAAGCAGGCTCCAGGCTAACAGCTGTTAGCACAGAGCTAGACGCGGGGCCCAAACCCACGAACTGCGAGACCATTACCCGAGCTGAAGTTGGGTGCCCAACCAACTGAGCCATGCAGTTGCCCCTCAGTATTATTTATTAAAGAGAATATCTTTTCCCCCACTGTATACTCTTGCCTCCTTTGTTGTAGATTAATTGACTGTATAGTAGTGGGCTTATTTCTGGGTGCTTTATTATGATCCATTGATCAATGTGTCTGCTTTTGTGCCAGTACCATACCGATTTGATTACTACAGCTTTGTAGTATATTTTGAAATCTGGAATTGTGATACCTCTAGCTTTGTTTTTCTTTCTCAAGATTGCTTTGGCTATTCTGGGTCTTTTGTGGATCCACACAAATTTTGGTATTATTTCTTCTAGTTTTGTGACAAATGCTATTGGTATTTTGATAGGGATTGCATTAAATCTGTAGATTGCTTTGAGTATTATGGACATTTTAACAATGTTTATTCCTCCAATTCATTCTTACAATTCATTCTTCCAATTCATGAGCATGGAGTATCTTTTCATTTGCGTCATCTTCAATTTCTTTCATCAATGTTTTATAGTTTTCAGAGTACAGGTCTTTCACCTCTTTAAGTTTATTCCTAGGTATTTTATTCTTTTTTGGTACAATTGTAAATGGGACTGTTTTCTTTATTTCTCTTTCTGCTACTTCATTATTAGGGAATAGAAATGCTACCAATTTCTGGGAATTAATTTTGTATCCTGCAACTTTACTGACTTATTCTAGTTTTTTAGTGGAGTCTTTTAGGATTTTCTATGTATACTATTATGTCATCTGCAAATAGTGACAGTTTAACTTCTTCTTTGCCAATATGAACGCCTATTATTTTTCTTGTCTGATTGCTGTGGCCAGGACTTTTGGTACTATGTTGAATAAAAGTGGCAAGAGTGGCCATCCTTGTCTCGTTCCTGACCTTAGAGGAAGAGCTCTCAGCTTTTTACCACTGTATATGATGCTAGCTGCAGGTGTTTCATATATGGCCTTTATTAAGTTGCAGTATCTTCCCTCTAAACCCACTTTGTCGAGAATTTTTATCATGAATGGATGTTGTACTTTGTCAAATGCTTTTTCTGCATATATAGAGATGATCATATGATTTTAATCCTTTCTCTTGATGTGGCAAATCACATTGATTTGTGAATAGTAAATATTTGTGAATATTCCTTGCATTCCTGAAAAAAATCCCACTTGATTATGGTGAATAGGTATTAACTCTTCTTTAAATGTTTGGGAGAATTCACCTGTGAACCCCTTTTACCAGGCAGGTGGTTTGACAAATCTGTGCTGTTTGGCCAGTTTTACAACATTTTCATGGTGCATACCATCCTCATTCCTCAGGGCTAGTTGAGCCGGACACAGGGTGGGTGGGGGGGCCTCAGTCTCATGATCCTGGGATCATGACTTGAGCCGAGGCCAAGAGCTGGAAGCTCAATCAACTGAACCACCCATGCACCCCTATGTTGTTGTTTTTTTTTAAAAACTTCATGACCTTTAAAAAGAAAAATGCCAGTACCTTTGGCATTTTTTAAGAAGTTCGTTTATTTCATACTGTTATTCAAATTAAGATTCACAGGGGCGAATCTTCAGGATGGAGGACAAGCACACATCCAGGTAACTGACTTTATTATTATTATTAAACGAAAATTACAAGGCTCTATAAATTAAGACGACCTTCTGCTCACCTAAACCACCCTTCTCTTGCACCTGAAAGTCAGTTTGATTTTGCTCACCTGACTTCTCACAATCTCTTCAAGAGCCCAACGAACGGACTGTAACCCAATCCCTCCAGTTAAGGCAGCCCATGGAGCTCAGGGGCAAGTACCAGATGAGGTCGCCCTAGACCCCGCCCTGTCCGGGAGGCGGCGGCGCAGCGCGCTGTGGTCTGAGGCATTGTGGGTATTGAAGACCCTCTCCCAGGGCACTGTGGGTAGCGCAGTCCCGCGTCCCGGGGCACTGTGGGTAGCGCACCCCGGAGCACTGTGGGTAGTGCTGTCCTGCGCCCGCCGGCGTCGCTGGTGGCTGGTGACCGTCCTTGCGCGCTTGTGGTGAGTGATTCCGCCGCTGCCGCCGTTCCGGGGCACTTCGGTGGGGAGAGCCGGGCGAGAGCGGACGGGGTCGGTTCGCTGTCGCCGCGGGTTGCTGGAGGTTCGGGTTTCCCGGCGGGGTTGGGGCGGCCCACCTGGGAGGGGCTGTGGGCGGGAGTCTGGGGGAAGGGCCGTCAGGCGGGGCTGGGGGCCCGGCGTCCCGTCCTGGAGGAGCCGGGCTGGCCTGGGTGACTTGGGGCACACGGGCGGTGGGGCGGCGCTGCTCGGCGAAGCCGGCTCTGGTGATGCGGGTGCCGCTTGGCCACCTGCCCCCAGGTTTTGGAGGAAGATTGGCCTGGGGCAGATACCCAACCTCGCCTCGATGGTGGGGGCAGCCGGGGCGGAGACTCGGGTCAGCGGCCTCGGGACCGTGGGCTCCTCGGGGCGTTGGAAGGGCCCGGCGGGGTCAGACATCCCCTGGTTGCGTGGGGGAGCCCTTGGGTCCCCTTCGGCGCTTTCCGCTTGTGTCAGCCCCCTCCTGGGGCCCTTCCAGGAGCATGGGGTGGTGCCATTGGAGTGGACCCTACCGGGCAGAGCACTTTCCCTAGATCCCCTAGTCACCGGAGGTGGGAGAGGGAATGAATGGTAAGAACTCCGGCCTTCAGCTTTCCTTTGTGAAAATGAAACTCGAGCGCACCCAGGAGTAGCCGTGAAGTTCTATGGGTTCATCAGTCTGATCCACCAGTTACCAATGAGAACCCTATCTTTTCTCCCCCAGCCTGCAACCCCCACGTGTACATCTCTTTGGGCACTGTGTCTGCCCACGGGCCTATGCCAGGCTTGCTGTCGGAGCCCCCGACCCCCCTTCCTTTTAGGGAGAGTTCAAATCCAGACCTGCCCCTTTCTCACGGACTCATCCTGGGCAAGGTACCGAACCTCCTGGAGTGGAGTGTGGAAAGAGTTAAAACTTGGGTCTGACCCATGCTAAGTGCTCGAAAACATTCACGTGTGTTTTTACTAAGCCGTCCCCCCCGCCGGCACATAGAGGGTTAATCTACTGGGCGTCAGCATGCGTTGAGAGCAGGTTTGCTCTAAAACCCACACCCCGACTCTGTTCCTGGGGTGGTCCTTACCTTCCCTGCTTGCTTCCAGTACTTTAGTGGAGTGGAACCCAGTTGCATACTTGGAAGTTTCCAGCCTGCTCTCTGGGCCAGGAGAGACTCCTAAGGTGGGAACTACTTCTGGTGTGCCCAGGTGGGCCCTGAAGCCGTCTCCCCTCCCTACTCCCCCTCAATCCAGAGGGAACTAACTGCCTGTTAGGGAGGGGGGGACTCCTAGGGGCCTGGCAGTCTGTTGTGGATGGGCACCACCTCCTCCTGTACTTGTGGTGTGGACTTTAGTGTGTGTGTAGTATGCCCTGTGGGGCTCAGAGCTGCAGGTGGATTCCCAGGAAGCCAGGCTTGTTCTTGAAAGGACACATTCCTGCACAGGGTGTCCTTGGGCACATCCTCTGCCTTCATGAATTCAGGAGCTTTTCAGCATCTCCATACGTTCACTCTGGTGTATTCTCAGGGCCTTGTGGTGTTGCCAAAACAAAGATGGTGAGAAGTGCTGTTGTGAGAACAGTAGTCTTGTATTGGCCATATTTTTATTTCCTCAGCCATCTTGCACATTATGTGGTAGAATATTCATTTTGTAGAAAGGTAAATGGTATAGTAGAGGATTAAATAACTTTTATCACGGAGCTAGCTGTTCTTTAACTTTCAAAGTTAATGAAAATTTAAAAAGAGAGGTGCTCTATTTTTAGACTCATACATCCAATGCTAATTAAATTCATTTTCATCAAATTTTTTAATGTTTATTTTTGAGAGAGAGTGCGAGCAGGGGAGGGGCAGAGAGAGAGAGAGAGAGAGAGAGAGAGAGAGAGAGAGAGAATCTGAAACAGGCTCCAGACTCTGAGCTGTCAGCACAGAGGCAGATGTGGAGCTTGAACCCACAGACCGTGAGATCATGACCTGAGCCAAAGTTGGACACTTAGCCAACTGAGCCACCAGGCTCCCCACACCCCCAAATTTTCTCCTGATCCTTGGTCTCAGCCCCTAATGACATGAACTTCTGTTGGTGACATTAATGACACTACCTTTATAGTTTCTTCTACTTTTCTTAGTTTTGAGGGTGTGGAGGGAAATGGGATTATTAAATTTAAAATTTATTATGAAAATTTTACAAATACAAAGATAGCGAGAATTTTCAAAGAGCATCTGTGCATCGGCTTCAGCAGGTGTCAACATTCTGCTCTTCCCCTCTTCCTTTTTGGTTTTCTCCGCTGAAGTATTTTGCAGCAAATCCCAGATATCATTTTACCAGTGAATACTTCAGTATGCATCTGTTAGGAATTAAACCATTTTATTAAATTTTACTGAAATATAATTACCATACATTATTATTATCAGTTGGTGTACAACATATTGACTTAATTCTATACATTATTCAGTGCTTACCACAACAAATGCCACCCTCTGTCACCATACAATGTTATACTCCTCATCTCCAAAACTTATTTTATAACTGGAAGTTTTTCTTAATCCCCTTTATCTATTTTGCCTATACCTCCACCACCTCCCCTCTGACAACCACCATTTTGTTCTCTGTGAGTCTGTTTTTTATTGGTTCATGTGTTTTTGTTCTTTATCCATTTATCAATAGGCACACATTGTTTCCGTATTTGGGCTATTTTAGATAATGCTGTAATAAACATAGGGGTGCATGTATCTTTTCAGATTAGCATTTTCATTTTCTTTGGGTAAATAATAGTGAAATTACTAGATCATATGGTATTCTATTTTTAAATTTCTGAGGAAACTCCATACTGTTGTACACAGTGGCTGTACCAATTTACATTCCTACCAACAGTGTGTATGTAAGGGTTCTTTTTTCATCATATCCTTACCAACACTTGTTATTTGTCTTTTTAATACTAGCCTTTCTGAATGGTGTGAGGTGATATTTCATTGTAGTTTTGATTTGCACTTCCCTGATGATAGGTGATGTTGAGCATCTTTTCATGTGTCTGTTGACCATCTGTATGTCTTCTTTGGGAAAATGTCATTCAGGTCCTTTGACAATTAAGAAAATTATTTTTTGTGGGACTGTAGAAGTTCTTTATGTATTTTGGATATTAACCACTTATTGGATATATTGTTTGCAAATATCTCCTCCCATTCAGTAGGTTGCCTTTTTGTTTTGCTGATGGTTTCCTTTACTGTGAAAACCCTTTTTATTTATTTTTTTTTTAATTTTTTTTTCAACGTTTTATTTATTTTTGGGACAGAGAGAGACAGAGCATGAACGGGGGAGGGGCAGAGAGAGAGGGAGACACAGAATGGGAAACAGGCTCCAGGCTCTGAGCCATCAGCCCAGAGCCCGACGCGGGGCTCGAACTCACGGACCGCGAGATCGTGACCTGGCTGAAGTCGGACGCTTAACCGACTGCGCCACCCAGGTGCCCCCAAAACCCTTTTTATTTTGATGTAGTCTGAATAGTTTATTCTTGCTTTTGTTTTTCTTGACTGAGGAGACATATTTAGGAAAATGCTGTGATGGCTGATGTCAAAGAAATTACTGCCTCTGTTTTGTTTTAGGAATTTTATGGTTTCAGTTCTCACGTTTAGGTGAGAAACCCATTTTGAGGGGTTTCTCTCTTAAAAATTCTAGTATAGTTAACATACACTGTTGTATTAGTTCCATTTGTACAATACAGTGATTCAGCAATTGTATACATTACTCAGTACTCACTGGGATAAGTGTATTCTTAATCCCTTTCACCTGTTTCACCCATCCCCCCACCTACCTGTTCTCTGGTAACTATCACTTTGTTCTCTATAGTTAAAAGTCTTTTTTGGTCTCTTTTTTTCCTTTGTTCATTTGTTTTGTTTCTTAAATTCCACATATGAATGAAACCATATGGTATTTGTCTTTTGCTGACTGGTTTGTTTCACTTAGCATTGTACCTTCTAGATCCATTCTTGTTGTAAATGACAAGATTTCATTCTTTTTTTATGGCTGATTAATTCCACTATGTGTGTATGTGCGTGCGTGTGTGTATCACATCTTCTTTATCCATCCATCAATAGACAATTAGGTTGCTTCCATATCTTTCGTCTTGTAAATAATGCTACAGCAAACATAGGGGTACATGTATCTGTTTGTGTTACTGTTTTCATATTCTTTGGGTAAATACCCAGTAGTGAAATGACTTCATCATATGGTAGTTCTATTTTTAATTTTTGAGGGACCTCCATACGGTTCCCACAGTGGCTGCACTTGTTTGCGTTCCCATCAATAAAGCACAAAGTTTTCTTCTCTCCACATCCTTGCCAACACTTGTTGTTTCCTTTATTTTTTATTTTAGCCATTCTGACAGGTGTAAGGTGGCTTTTGATTTGCATTTCCCTGATGAGTGATATTGAGCATCGTTTCATGTGTCTGTTGGCCATCTGTCTTCTCTGGAGAAATGTTTGTTCTTGTCTCTGCCCATTTGTAATTGGACTAGTTTTTGTTTTTGTTTTGTTTTTTGGTGTTGAGTTGTATTAGTTCTTTATATATTTTGTATTAGTTCTTTATATATTTTGGATACTAACCCCTTTATTGCATATGTACCTTGCCAGTATATGTATTCCCATACAGTAGGTCTTTTAGGTTTTTTGATTATTTCCTTTGCTGTGCAGAAGCTTTTTATTTTGATGTAATTCCAATGGTTTATTTTTACTTTTGTTTTCCTTGCCTCAGGAGACATATCTAGAAAAATGTTGCTATGGCCAGTGTCAGAGCCAAGGCACAGTGTCAGGTTCACAGGTTAAAAACAGGCTTGGCATACTTTCTTCTCCGACACTGTGCCTTGGCTCTCTTATCACTACCACTTGCATGATAAATGCCTTTCCATCCCTTAACTTTTAATCTGCGTGTGTCTGGCTCTTTTGGGCAGCATATAGATGGATCTTGCTTTTTTTGTTTGTTTGTTTCTTTTTAATCCATTCTGCCACCCTGTGTCTTCTGATTGTAGCATTTAGTCCATTTACATTCAAGATGATTATTGTTAGGTATGTACTTACTACCATTTTGTTACTTGTTTTATGATTTTTTTTTTGTAGTTCTTTTCTGTTCCTTTTTTCTCTTGGTCTCTTCTCACAGTTTTCTGGGGTTTTTTTAGTGATATATTTGGATTACTTCCTTTTTTTTTTGCATATCTATTATTGGCTTTTGATTTGTGATTACCATTAGGTTTATAGATGACATCTTATGCATACAGCAATTTATAATGAGTTGATGGCTGTAGGAGTTTGAACCCATTCTTTATTCCTCTCCCTCCCATGTTTTAGTTATATGGTGTCATACTTTATATCCTTTTATTTTGTGAATCCCTTGACTGATTTTTATAGGTGTACTTAATTTTACTGCTTTTATGCTTCCTACTTTTCTTACTCCTGGTTCTGTCCTTTTCTTTCCACTCATGAAGTTTCCTTTAACATTTCTTTCAGGGTTGGTTTAGTGGTCATGAATTTCTTTAACTTTTGTTTGTCTGGGAAGCTATTTATCCTTGCATTCTGAATAATAGCCTTGCCAGATTCTTTAAAAAATTTTTTTGTTTTTACATTTATTTATTTTTGATAGAGACAGAGCACAAGTGGGGGAGGGGCAGAGAGAGAAGGAGAAGAGAATCCAAAGCAGGCTCCAGGCTCCGAGCTGTCAGCACAGAGCCCGATGTGGGGCTCGAACCCACAAACTGTGAGATAGTGACCTGAGCCAAAGTCAGACGCTTAACCAACTTAGCCACCCAGGTGCCCCTAGCCTTGCCAGATTCTTAGTTGCAGGTTTTTTCCTTTTAGCACTTTGAATATATCATGCCACTCCCTCTGGCTTGCAAAGCTTCTTCTGAAAAATCAGCTGATAGCCTTTTGGGGTTTTGTTGTGGGTAACTTTTTTCTCTTGATGCTTTTAAAATTCTCTTGTTATCAGTATTTTCTGCCATTTTATTAAAAAGAAATTTTTTTTTCAACGTTTATTTTTGGGACAGAGAGAGACAGAGCATGAACGGGGGAGGGGCAGAGAGAGAGGGAGACACAGAATGGGAAACAGGCTCCAGGCTCTGAGCCATCAGCCCAGAGCCCGACGCGGGGCTCGAACTCACGGACCGCGAGATCGTGACCTGGCTGAAGTCGGACGCTTAACCGACTGTGCCACCCAGGCGCCCCTGCCATTTTAATAACTATGTGTCTTGAATTTATTTTGTGGGGGACTCTGTGTCTCTTGGATCTGGAATTCTGTTCCTTTCCCCAGATATGGGAAATTTTTAGCCATTATTTCTTCAAATAAATTTTCTGTTCCCTTTTCTCTCTTTTCTTCTTTTTGGATCCCTATAATGCATATATTATTACTCTCGATGGTGTCGCTGAGTTTTTTGTTTTCATTTATTATGATTTTTTCTCCTGTTAAGCTTGATTGCTTTCCATTACTTTTGTCCTCCAGGTCACTGATCTGTTCTTCTGCTTCCTCTAGTCTAGGGCTTATTCTCTCTAGTGTATTTTTTTTTTCAACGTTTTTGTTTATTTTTGGGACAGAGAGAGACAGAGAATGAACGGGGGAGGGGCAGAGAGAGAGAGGGAGACACAGAATCGGAAACAGGCTCCAGGCTCCGAGCCATCAGCCCAGAGCCTGACGCGGGGCTCGAACACACGGACCGCGAGATCGTGACCTGGCTGAAGTCGGACGCTCAACCGACTGCGCCACCCAGGCGCCCCTCTCTAGTGTATTTTTAATTTCAGTTAAGTTCATCTCTGATTGGTTCTTTTATATTTTCTGTCTCTTTGTCAAGGGTCTCACTGAAGTTCTCCAATCTTTTCTCAAGTCCAGTGAGTATTTGAATTTTTATAAAACTTACTTTAGATTCTCTATCAGGCATATTACTTATCATTGTTTCATTTAGCTCTCTTGCTGTGATTTTGTCCTGTTCTTTCATTTGGGACATACTCCTCTCTTCATTTTGTCTAAGTCTCTGTGCATTTTCTCTGTGTTAGGAAAGTCAGCTACATACAACTCCTGGTCTTGAAAGTCATGGCCTTATGAAGAATAGGTTCTGTTGTACCCTGCTGTGCACATTTATTAGAGAGAGAGAGCATGCGTGTGCACAAGAGGGGAAGGGGCAGAGAGAGAGAGAGAGAGAGAGAGAGAGAGAATCCCAAGAAGGCTCCATGCTGTCAGCACAGAGTCCGACATGGGGCTTGATCCCATTACCATGAGATCATTACCTGAGCCCAAATGAAGAGTCAGATGCTTAACTGACTGATATCTCTCCATTTATTTAGATATTCTTTGATTTTTTTAAGAAGT